TGGTCCTGAATCCCATCTCCTCTAAAACAGCTGCCAATTTCTGGTACCAGCAGCGTGGCGCCTGCTTCAAGCCGTAGATGGACTTTTTCAGCTTGCACACCCTGCCCGTACCATCCTCATAACCAGGCAGCTGCGTCATGTACACATCCTTCTCTAAAATCCCATTGAGGAGTGTCGTTGATATATGCATCTGAATGATGAATTTCCCATTAACGGCTGCATCTGCCAACAATACACGAAGGGTAGGGGGTTTGGCAGTGGGAGCAAAGTTCTTGTTAAAGTCCTGCTTCTCTTTCTGCATAAACCCCTTAGCCACCAGCCTACTCTTGTAGATGGTGACCTGCCCCTTGTCATCGGTCTTGATCCTTAGCACCCACTTGCACTGTACGGCTTTCTTCCCCTCAGGCAGCACCACCAGATCCCATGTCCCATTCTCTAGCAGGCTCTGGTACTCAGCATCCCTAGAAACCAGCCGCTTCTTCCTGTCTGGTCCAGCTAATGCCTCCTCCATGCTAGCTGGTTGCACTAGTGCAGGGGCAAGAAAACAGTAGGCAGGTTCATCCTCCTCATCCGGGTCATAGCCATGAGGTAGAATCAGCATTGCCTCCTCGGTCCCAAGCTGCTGCTCCGCTACACCTGATCCTGCAGTCAGCTTCTTAGTAGCCATACGGGTACGTCCTGGCCTGGAGACGGGTGTCTCCCATCCCTTCATAACGACACTCTTTGGCTTCTTAATTTTCCCCTACTCTTCCCTCGGATCCAGCAGCTCCACTAGTGCTGCCGCCAGTTTCCACACCACCAGCAGCTACCTCCTGTACCTTCTCTCCATCACCATTCCCCGCAGCTGCCTCCTCTCCCTCCTCCCACATACTAGGAGTCAGGTCCAGCTGCATGGTGATCTGCTCCATCTGCTGGGACATCCTTGCCTCCGGCTGTTTCTCCCAGCTCCCATACATCATGCCCTCAATGAATTTCACATCCCTGCTGTCAAACAACACACCCTTGGATGGTTCCTACAGCAGCCATCCCTTGCTTTCAGCAGCCAGCCCCAAATGCACACACCAGATTGCATTCGCCCCCAACTTACTGCGGTAGGTCTTGGGGACGTGGGCAACTGCCATGGAGCCAAACACCCTCAAAGCCACCTTTCCACCGCCGGCATCCTCCAAAGCCACCTTTCCAACGGCACCCACGAGTCATCCCCAACCTTGGTGAGTACCCTGTTCCTAGCGACGGTAGCGTGCCGGACAGCGTGAGGCCACATGGAGTTGCCAAGCCCAGATTCTATGAGCAGCGCCCTAGCTGTCTCTATAATAGACCCTAACTTCTCCAGCTACTTCTGCAAAGGCATTGCCACATGCCCCAAGCGTCGGTGTGCCGTTGCCCAATCCGTCTCCCCAGATCTGGCCGACACTTTCACACCAACTCCTCCAACGGCGTTGCACTCCCCCTGGGATGCAGACCCCTCTCCAGCCTGCCCCCCACCGTGCCACGCCAACGCAGTCAGCTGCCATATGGATCTGTACACGTCCTTACTCTCATGCAGATCCCAAAGCACCCCAGCTGCCCCTTATAAGTGCGAGCCCCATCCGTGTTGGTGTTCACCCCAATCTTGCCAAGCTTACGGAGCGAGATTAAGTTGGCCTTTAGTTTGGGAATGAGGAGAACGTTGTGCAGCACCACTGGCTTGCCATCCGCTCCCTTAAACGCAGCTCGTCCCGCACCAGCCACCTTCAACATGTGTCCAGAGGCGGAGAAGCACCCGTTTCCAACACCCAAAAGTCCAGGGGATGCAGCTCTGCTCCAACCTTGGCAGATGCGTCTCCTTGCTCCCCCTTGTCTCCCACATGGAAAAATTGGCCCGCGGTGCGCTCCTTCTTCTTCTCCGCACCGCCGTTGCCCTTCGGGTTGTTGTCGGACGAATCAGCGACCATGTTGGCGCCGTTTTTCTGGTTCCTCCGCGCGCCGCCATCCTGGTGACGATTCTGGGGGGTCCATCCATCGGGTTTCTTATAGCACAAAAACCAGGGATGCCCTTCCTTCTCACAATACCAGCAACTCCCTTTCATTTTGCCACCAGCACCCGATTTGCCCCCACGTCCAGATTTTGCACCGCGACCCCAACCGGTACCTCCTTGTTGGTCGTTGGAGTCGTCGTCCTTCTTTGCACCGCGCCCAGCACCACCAAAGCCACGTCCTCTGCCACGTCGGCTCCCTTGCATCCCATAGCCGCTGCTGCCGTTGTCTCCACCCCTCAGTTGGCGGCGATGGAAGTCCTCCTCCAGAATCTCTTTGTCGGCACCCAATCGAGCGTCCACAAGCTCTGGTTCTGCGGCAGACTCAATCCGCTCGTGAATTGAAGCACCAATTCCGGCAGCAGCGATAGCATCTTCAGGCACTTGGTCTGCTCCAGGTAGGTGATTCCCGCGATCGCCAACTTCGCGTAGAGGTCGCGCATCTTGTCCAGAACAGGTTGCACCGGCTCTCCCTCGCTCAAGCGCAACGCGGACAGCTCCCTCTCCATCATGAGCGTAGCGGTGCAGCTCCTTCAACACGGTCCATGCCTTCGGACCGCACTCAACCTCCGGCAGCAGGTGCATGAAATGGAGACGCTGGTTCAGCTCCAAACTTTGCGACATCAAATAGTAGCCAGCCGAGGCGCGCTCGTCCCAATCTTCCTGAAGGGAAAGGCTAGAGTTCACTCGGTCTACGCTTCTCCCCAATCATTAGTTTCAGCAAACCGATCTGACGGAAATATAGTTGCATTTTCCAGGCCCAATCATCATAGCCCTCACCATTGAACTTCTCGACGGTGAAGTTTTTCAGCACCTCCTTGATCAGCGAGCCCTGGCTTGTTCGCGCTCCCCTTGGCGCCGAAACACCAGAATCTTGGCTGCCGCTACGATCTTGGGCTGAAGATTCACCAGCTCCCGCCGAGGTGTTGCCCGCCATAGCTACCTATAACGAGGATCACTATAACGTAGCTCTGATACCAGCTTGTTGGTGTAAGGGCCTAATAAACACAAGCTATTAAAACTTAATCAAACTAAATACCTCTCCTCGGGGTCACCTCCAAGGGTCCCTGGGTGCCTGGTACAAGACCAGCCCCTATCTTCGGGTCCGAGTTTGTAGAGAGAGGAACCGAGAATAACTTAGCCAAAATAACAAGAGTACCTTGAACGTCGCGCAGCGTGCCGTGCAGACCGTCGATCGGATTAAGCTGAGAATTTGCTATATCGAAGCTTGCTTCTAGCGCTTACAAATAAGCCAAGTTGCCTCGCAAAAAATTCTGACACTACGAAGTTATGGCTCGGACAGCGTTTGCCTAGCGTTGGAGTGCTAGCGTACTAGCGTTGACTCGGGTAGCATTCCGCCATCGAACCGCGTAGAAACGAAATTCCAGCAAGGAAGGAATCCATTTGAATCAACTGACTATATCCAGGTACAAACAGAGAAAGAATAAATAGTTCTAGCTAGCAAGGACTTTGGGAATCAACCTGGGAACAACCAGAGATGATCCCAAATAATTCCAAGCAACAGAACCAACCTGCCTAGACAAATCGCAGGTGGTAGGTTGGTAAACAACCTCTGGTTCTGTTTTTCCAACCTGGGAAAACAACAACCAAGTTCAGGTTCTAAAAACAGAACCTGTTTTGTCTTTGCCCAACCAGCCAAATGCTGGTTCTGCTGGTTTCCCCTGGCCTTGTAGCATGCAGATACAGACAAACAACATCCAACCTTCACCTACATTGTGCCCTATAGTGCCTGCCCTGCTACACTATAGTCAACCAAACAAAATAGTACAATTTCAAGTTGGATAGAACTGAATCTGCGCAATCAACTCAACCGAACTGCAAAGCTTCCATCTTGGGTTCCTTTGTGAGCTCGTCCTTTCTGCTTGCACTGTTCATGGCGCGTACAATGTTGTGCCGAAGCGCACATTGCGCGAGTACCTGCAAATGCTTCAAGCGAAAATTGCGAAAGCAAACAAACACATGAACACACCATTCACACGCAAATGCATTCGCACACGCATACTCATACAAACAGACGGCAGGATGTCGTGCAAAGTCAATTTGCACCCAACATCCTCGGCGTCCTCTCCATCGTCATCGGCTTCGCTGCCCTCCTCGTCCTGTTGCACATTGGTCAGCGTACAGGCCGACTTCTCCCTTGTGGTCGGCTCCCCTGCCGACTGCCAGGTCGCCGACTGCTCCTTGGTCGACCGGCCGCGTTGCTGCCTGCTCCCCTGTTGGCTGCACCTGCTCGCTCTGCTACTTCCCCGACTGCCCCGCTGTCGATTTCATTTCCAGGCTGACTTGCTGGATGTGACGTCGGCCACCGGCGATGTACTTAGCCGGCGCCATAGGCGACGCCCCACTGCTCCAATCATCGCGGAGGCCGACACCGAAGTCAGCCCACCCAGGTCTGCGACGAAGGGAGGGGAAGAGGAAGAAAGGTGGACGACCTCAGCGTCCTCATCAGCAAGCTCACCGACCTCGGCGAGTAGAGGGAGCGTTGCCGTCGAGGTATTTGTTGGCATGGTCAGCGGCGTCCGCCCCAACGCCGGCCCGCTCCGACTTCCACACCTCGAGCGACATGGTCTCGTAGAACACCACGTCCGACGTGGTGACCACCCGGTTGTCGGCGATGTCGAGGAGCTCCCAGCCCTTGCTCTCCGCGGACATGCCGGGGTCAAGACCCCACTTGGCCTTCGGCTTCAGCTTCCCACCACGCTGCTGCTCGGGGACGAGGAACTGTGCCATACAGCCCTATACTCGCGCCATCGACAAGTCAGTCTTCGTCCCGGTCAGCAGCTGGTACGGCGTCGTCCCCGGCGGCAGCGTCGACCTCTCCAGACAGTTGCGAACCCACGGCCTGCCGCAAAGCGAGGTGCCACCAGTGGTGCTGTACGCCCATGTGTAGCGCATTGTCCGCACCAACTCCACCACTGTCCGCATCTCCCGCTCCGCCATGCCGTTCTGCTGCGGGGTGTACGGTCAGGTGAGGTCGTGAAGGATCCCCTTTCCGTCCATGAAAGCAGTGAAGTCCTTCCCGAGGAACTCCCCTCCCCGGTCAGAATGCAGCTGCAACACCGACATATTCGCCTGCCGCTCGACCAGCACCAGCCACTGCTGGAACTCTCGCAGCACGCCGGACTTCTTAGCGACCGGTCTCACCCACACGTAGCGGGTCTTGCGGTCCTTCAGCAGCAAGAAGTACAAGCTGCCGTCCTTAACGGCCACGCGGAATGGCCCGTACAGGTCGACGTGTACGACCGCCAGCACGTCGTCGGCGTCAGAGCCCTGGTCGGGGAAGGTGTGCCGCGCCAGCTTCCCGCCGACGCACGAGACAAACCGTGAGTCTGCTCCAGACGCCGACTTGAGGTCCAGCCCAGTGGCGACCTCGTGCTTTGCTGAACTCCGGATGGTGTCCATGCTGACGTGCACAAGCCTCGAGTGCAGCCTGTCAGGCGTCGACTTCGTCGCCGAGACGATCGCCCGCAGAGTCACCACATCTGCTGCGTTCGTCGCCGAGCAGGGACGTACGTTGGTGCAGAGTACCTGGCCGGAATACGTTGCCCGACCAAGCACGTCGCTTGTTGCCGAGACAAGCAGCATCCCATCGTCGTCTTCATGCATCTTAACACCGTTCTCTTTCAGCTGACCGGCCGACGGCAGGTTGGCCGCCACGCCCCGGATGTACAGCACGTCGGGGATAAGCACCCGCTTTCCGGCGTCTCCCTGCTGTGCAACGGTGCCACGACCTTGGACGTCCTGCAGCACCCTATTGAAGCCGCACACGCTTCACGTCGCCACTCGGCCCAAGTTGACGAAGGTCTCCTTCATCCCAATCAGGTGGTGCGAACAGCCGCTGTCGAGCAGGCCCACGGCCGGGTTCGCCTGCACAGCTGCCGCCACTGCCTGGAAGTCCTCGCCAGCCTCCGGCGCCAGCGAGACGGTCGGCTCCACGACGCCGACCAGCGAGCACGACGCCTCCTTGCCGCCAGCAGAAGAGTCGACGTCCTTCGTCGAGGTCAACTTGTTGGACTGCTTCTCCTTGCGTGGCTGGTTTCCTCGGCGCGGACGACGGCTGGCCAACCTTCCACAGCCTCCCTTGGCGTCATCGTCATCGGAATCACTGCGATCGGGGCTCGACGGAAAGGTGGTCGGGGCTGCGGCAGTTCCAGCACTCCCGACGCCGACTTCCTCCTCCGCGACTGCCATCCTTGGCCGACTTCTGCTTGTTGGCGTCCTTCGCCGGCTTCGACCCGCTGCTACCACCGCCGCCAGACTGCCCATGCTGCCCCGGTCGCCCACCGTGCTTCGCCGGGGCGACATAGTTTTTCTGTTCTAGAGGTCAAAGTGTCCTCGTTGAGCGTCGCCCGCGTGCTCGGCGCCATCAACAGCCGCTTCAGCAGGTTTTAGCTGCTCGGGAGCCCCTTCATGACGTGCGTGACGTACGAGGCAGTCGAGTACTGCACGATGGCCATCCTCATGGTGGCTACGATCCGCCGAGCCCGGTTGCAGTAGTCGGTCGCCGTCTCCTGGTCGCCCATCCACAGGTATGACAGCTGCTCCTCAAGCTGGCCGATGAACAAGTCGTCGGTGACCTGGTAAGTTGACTCGATGAAATGCCACGCCCGGTGGCCGGCGTTGATGTAGTCCCTGCACGACTTCAGGGCGATCTGCACGCCCGGCGAGCAGCACCGCGAGATGACCGTGAAGGTCAGCAGCTGCAAAATGCGGAACTCTGCACGCACATCGAGGTAGTCCTCCGATGGCGTGGCCACGGTGCCGGCGGCGAAGCCCATCAGCCCGGCCATCTCCAGCTGGGGCTCGATGGCTTCCTTCCAGGTGAGAATGTCAAATTGACCAACAAGCAGGGGGGTCACCGAGATTCTGTCCGACATAAACTTGAAGTAGCCGTAGCTCGGCGCAATTCCTCCCACAGTCACGTGGGTCGCCGACATTGGTGCCAAACCATTTCGACGTCCTCCGACGTCGCCCTGCGAGGAGCCTGCAGCCGCCAACGATTGCATTCCTCACGCCTGAACGCCGCTGACTTCACCTGCGTGTGTCACTCCACGCTGCCTCGACGACGTGCCTCCCGCACTGCTGCCGACTTGGTCACCACCGGCGTTGACGCCCACGTCGACGCCGCCCTCGGTGTTCACCGGTCGAGGAGATGCAGGCCGAGAAGGAGGGTGCTCCGTCGCCCACACGGAGCGGATGCCAGCCTCGACGACCGCCCAGGGGAGGTCGCCGAACTCCTTCGCCTCATGGCGTCTCCTCGCGCTCTCCAGCCGTGCCTCCAGGGTGTCCACCACCCCCGTGTCACCTACGGCGCCTACCATAGTGACTACCACACAACTGCCGGCCTACGAACAACTTAGGTAAGGTGCAACTAAGTCGACTAGACTGAAAGGTAAGTCGTGTGCCGTCCACGCTCACCGCACCATGCGAAGATAACTGCTACAACGGGAGCTAGACTACGGGCTAGGCACGGGGTGGAAGTGACCGTAGTGTTGGTTCACTTGGTCGTTCTCTAGCACTTGTGCATTCACAGGGCAAAACCGCAGGTGCACGCAGATGATTGGCGTGCAGTGCCTCGTCACCTGCACAGCGCACACACCAAGTCAACTTCGTGCTGACAACGCTTCTGTTCAGCCACGTCGACCTCGGGATACCACCACCGAGGTCGTCCTCGCCAACACCACCTGGTCGACCGTCGCACTCTTCTGCAGAACCTCGCCACCCAGGTAACCTGGTCGACCGGGCAACCATGTCGACCAGCTGCTCCTGTATGTGCCCGTCGACCTCCCAAGTCGACGGCCACCTCCAGTCGACCTCACCAGGTCGACCACTACCCCTGGTCGACCAGCTCCAGGTCGACGTCACTCCTCGTCGAGCAGCACAGTTGTCACCCGACCCCCAGAGTTGGCTACCCGAAGTCGGCGTCACCAAGTTGACGCCCTGCTACTCGACGGCCAACAGCTCGGCGTCCCTCTGTCTGTTGGGTGCAAATGCACATTGCACGACATCCTGCCGTCTGTTTGTACGAGTATGCGTGTGCGAATGCATTTGCGTGTGAATGGTGTGTTCGTGTGTTTGTTTGCTTTCGCATTTTTCGCTTGATGCATTTGCAGGTACTCGCGCAATGTGCGCTTCGGCACAACATTGTATGCGCTATGAACAGTGCAAGCAGAAAGGAGGAGCTCGCAAAGGAACCCAAGATGGAAGCTTTGCAGTTCGGTTGAGTTGGTTGCGCAGATTCAGTTCTATCCAACTCGAAATTGTACTGTTTTGTTTGGTTAACTATAGTGTAGCAGGGAAGGCACTATAGGGGTACAATTTAGGTGAAGGTTGGATGTTGTTTGTCTGTATCTGCATGCTACAAGGCCAGGGGAAACCAGCGGAACCAGCATTTGGCTGGTTGGGCAAAGACAAAACAGGTTCTGTTTTTAGAACCTGAACCTGGTTGTTGTTTTCCCAGGTTGGAAAAACAGAACCAGAGGTTGTTTACCAACCTACCACCTGCTACTTTGTCCAGCCAGGTTGGTTCTGTTGCTTGGAATTATTTGGGATCATCCCTGGTTGTTCCCAGGTTGATTCCCAAGGTCCTTGCTAGCTAGAACTATTTAATCCTTCTCTGTTTGTACCTGAATATAGTCAAATTGATTCAAGCGAATTCCTTCCTCGCTGGAATTTCGTTTCTGCGCTATTCGACGGCGGAATGCTACCCGAGTCAACGCTAGTATGCTAGCACTCCAACGCTAGGCAAACGCTGTCCGAGCCGTAACTTAGTAATGGCAGAACTTTTCGCGAGGCAACTTGGCTCATTTTAAAGCTCTTGGAGCGAGCTTCGATATAGCAAATTCTCAGCTTAATCCGACCGACGGTCTGCACGGCACGCTGCGCGACGTTCAAGGTACTCTTGCTGTTTTGACTAAGTCCTTCTTGATCCCTCTCTCTACAAACTCGGACCCGAGGATAGGGGCTGGTCTTGTACCAGGCACCCAGGGACCCTTGGAGGTGACCCCGAGGAGAGGTTTTAAGTTTGATTAAGTCATAATAGCTTGAGTTTATTAGGCCCTTACACCAACAAGCTGGTATCAGAGCTGCGTTATAGTGATCCTCGTTATAGGTAGCTATGGCGGGCAACACCTCGGCGGGAGCTGGTGAATCTTCAGCCCAAGATCGTAGCGGCAGCCAAGATTCTGGTCTTTCAGCGCCAAGGGGAGCGCGAACAAACCAGGGCTCGCTTGTCAAGGAGGTGCTGAAGAATTTCACCGTCGAGAAGTTCAATGGTGAGGGCTATGATGATTGGGCCTGGAAAATGCAATTATATTTCCGTCAGATCGGTTTGCTGAAACTAATGATTGGGGAGGAGCCTAGACCGAGTGACCCCACGCTGCAGGAAGATTGGGACGAGCGCTCCTCGGCTGGCTACTACTTGATGTCGCAGAGTTTGGAGCTGAACCAGCGTCACCACGTCATGCACCTGCTGCCGGAGGTTGAATGCGGTCCGAAGGCGTGGACCGTGTTGAAGGAGCTGCACGCCCCGACCTCCGTTGTCGCAACGTTGATGCTGGAGAGGGAGCTGTCCGCGTTGCGCCTGAGCGAGGGAGAGCCGGTGCAACCAGTCCTGGACAAGATGCGCGACCTCTACGCGAAGTTGGCGACCGCGGGAATCACCTACCCGGAGCAGACCAAGTGCTTGAAGATGCTCTCGCTGCTGCCAGAATCGTGGCTTCAATTTACGAGCGGATTGAGCCTGCCGCAGAACCAGAGCTTGTGGACGCTCGAGTGGGTGCGGACGAAGATTCTGGAGGAGGACTTCCGTCGCCGCCAACTGAGGGGTGGAGACGACGGCAGCAGCGGCTACGGGATGCAAGGTGTTGGGTGCAAATGCACATTGCAGGACATCCTGCCGTCTGTTTGTACGAGTATGCGTGTGCGAATGCATTTGCGTGTGAATGGTGTATTCGTGTGTTTGTTTGCTTTCGCATTTTTCGCTTGATGCATTTGCAGGTACTCGCGCAATGTGCGCTTCGGCACAACATTGTACGCGCCATGAACAGTGCAAGCAGAAAGGACGAGCTCGCAAAGGAACCCAAGATGGAAGCTTTGCAGTTCGGTTGAGTTGATTGCGCAGATTCAGTTCTATCCAACTCGGAATTGTACTGTTTTGTTTGGTTAACTATATTGTAGCAGGGAAGGCACTATAGGGGTACAATTTAGGTGAAGGTTGGATGTTGTTTGTCTGTATCTGCATGCTACAAGGCCAGGGGAAACCAGCGGAACCAGCATTTGGCTGGTTGGGCAAAGACAAAACAGGTTCTTTTTTTAGAACCTGAACCTGGTTGTTGTTTTCCCAGGTTGGAAAAACAGAACCAGAGGTTGTTTACCAACCTACCACCTGCTATTTTTTCCAGCCAGGTTGGTTCTGTTGCTTGGAATTATTTGGGATCATCCCTGGTTGTTCCCAGGTTGATTCCCAAGGTCCTTGCTAGCTAGAACTATTTAATCCTTCTCTGTTTGTACCTGAAAATAGTCAAATTGATTCAAGCGAATTCCTTCCTCGCTGGAATTTCGTTTCTGCGCTATTCGACGGCGGAATGCTACCCGAGTCAACGCTAGTATGCTAGCACTCCAACGCTAGGCAAACGCTGTCCGAGCCAGAACTTAGTAATGGCAGAACTTTTCGCGAGGCAACTTGGCTCATTTTAAAGCTCTTGGAGCGAGCTTCGATATAGCGAATTCTCAGCTTAATCCGACCGACGGTCTGCACGGCACGCTGCGCGACGTTCAAGGTACTCTTGCTGTTTTGACTAAGTCCTTCTTGATCCCTCTCTCTACAAACTCGGACCCGAGGATAGGGGCTGGTCTTGTACCAGGCACCCAGGGACCCTTGGAGGTGACCCCGAGGAGAGGTTTTAAGTTTGATTAAGTCCTAATAGCTTGAGTTTATTAGGCCCTTACACCAACAAGCTGGTATCAGAGCTGCGTTATAGTGATCCTCGTTATAGGTAGCTATGGCGGGCAACACCTCGGCGGGAGCTGGTGAATCTTCAGCCCAAGATCGTAGCGGCAGCCAAGATTCTGGTCTTTCAGCGCCAAGGGGAGCGCGAACAAACCAGGGCTCGCTTGTCAAGGAGGTGCTGAAGAATTTCACCGTCGAGAAGTTCAATGGTGAGGGCTATGATGATTGGGCCTGGAAAATGCAATTATATTTCCGTCAGATCGGTTTGCTGAAACTAATGATTGGGGAGGAGCCTAGACCGAGTGACCCCACGCTGCAGGAAGATTGGGACGAGCGCTCCTCGGCTGGCTACTATTTGATGTCGCAGAGTTTGGAGCTGAACCAGCGTCACCACGTCATGCACCTGCTGCCGGAGGTTGAATGCGGTCCGAAGGCGTGGACCGTGTTGAAGGAGCTGCACGCCCCGACCTCCGTTGTCGCAACGTTGATGCTGGAGAGGGAGCTGTCCGCGTTGCGCCTGAGCGAGGGAGAGCCGGTGCAACCAGTCCTGGACAAGATGCGCGACCTCTACGCGAAGTTGGCGACCGCGGGAATCACCTACCCGGAGCAGACCAAGTGCTTGAAGATGCTTTCGCTGCTGCCAGAATCGTGGCTTCAATTTACGAGCGGATTGAGCCTGCCGCAGAACCAGAGCTTGTGGACGCTCGAGTGGGTGCGGACGAAGATTCTGGAGGAGGACTTCCGTCGCCGCCAACTGAGGGGTGGAGACGACGGCAGCAGCGGCTACGGGATGCAAGGTGTTGGGTGCAAATGCACATTGCACGACATCCTGCCGTCTGTTTGTACGAGTATGCGTGTGCGAATGCATTTGCGTGTGAATGGTGTATTCGTGTGTTTGTTTGCTTTCGCATTTTTCGCTTGATGCATTTGCAGGTACTCGCGCAATGTGCGCTTCTGCACAACATTGTACGCGCTATGAACAGTGCAAGCAGAAAGGACGAGCTCGCAAAGGAACCCAAGATGGAAGCTTTGCAGTTCGGTTGAGTTGATTGCGCAGATTCAGTTCTATCCAACTCGGAATTGTACTGTTTTGTTTGGTTAACTATATTGTAGCAGGGAAGGCACTATAGGGGTACAATTTAGGTGAAGGTTGGATGTTGTTTGTCTGTATCTGCATGCTACAAGGCCAGGGGAAACCAGCGGAACCAGCATTTGGCTGGTTGGGCAAAGATAAAACAGGTTCTGTTTTTAGAACCTGAACCTGGTTGTTGTTTTCCCAGGTTGGAAAAACAGAACCAGAGGTTTTTTACCAACCTACCACCTGCTATTTTATCCAGCCAGGTTGGTTCTGTTGCTTGGAATTATTTGGGA